CAATAAATACAATACAATATAATATAATATAATATAATATAATATAATATAATATAATATAATAGTTATTTTTTAAATAATATTTATTTATTTATTTATTCATTTACAAATACAAATACAAATACTAGAAATGCATTAGTACAGGAAGACCTACGTGACAATTGGTAGATCAAAATAGCACTGCCAGTTGTCGTTGGAGATTCTTAGCCCTCCTTTCCGTTCTTTCAATCGCTTTACATATACGTCGACTTTCAATGTCCATTATTGTGAAACCCGCGAGACACAACAAAAACACAGCTCCGATCACAGCGTCCTCCATCCTCCTTTTGTTAATGTTGTTCTTCTTTGTTTCTGTTGTTGAACGCCGCGCACAAATGACGACGCTGTCGACCGGCTTATGTCACTTCTTAGTACACACTCTCGGTGCGAATGCAACCCTTTAAATGGTACTGGGAAATAGTTCGTGCAAAATCGTCCCAGTACTTTAGTACTGTACATTTAGTTCTGGAACTAAAGTGGTGCGAAAGGCCCTAATGACAGAAGTTCTCAGAGGTCAGAGATGATTCCTAAATGATTCCTAAAGGGTTCTTATCACTCTTTGTGCTGACAGGAACAGACCCTGCAGACCCTGCAGACCCTGCATTCCACACATCCCGAACTAAAATTAACTCTTGTCTCTCACAGACTGGATTACATAACTGCAGAGCCAGCTTCTGCTCACTGTGTTCATATCATCACAGGACTGGTGCTGCTGAAACCTGTGGGTTATGTGCTGCCTGTCTGCCTGAATGTCCAAAGAGTTATAAAAACACCTAAACTACAAGACAGTGACCAGCCGTTTACAGTATATAAGGAGAATATTACCAAAGTATACATAACTTTCCTATACAAATATGTAAGTCCAGTGATGGTATCAGATAATACAATGGTATTGTATGATAACTATAATAATATACCATGCATGGTATTCAAATGTAACTACTTTAAAGAATCAAATGGTTATACCGGGATTTTAATATATAGGCCTATCGTAGTGTACCATGCAGTGTTGTTGTTGCTAACTAAAAGTAAAACAATTATTATTATTATTATTGTTGTTGTTGTTATTAATAATATTTTAATGTATTTATTGAAAGTAAAGAAGGGGGGAAATTACTGAAATAAATAAGTACTAAAATTAATAAATGAAATAAATCTAGAAAGAAAAAATACAATAAAAGAATATATAAAAAATAAACCTAGATAGAAATATTAACAAACACAAAAACGAATAAAAATGGCAAAAGGACATAATAATTACTAAAATTTAAATTAAAACTGAAATATAAAAACAAATTCAAATGCTATAATATTATTACTATTACTACTACTATTACGATAATAGTATAGGTATAAATAAAACTACAATACAACCATTAACAAGGCATTTACAAGGTACTCTGTGTCATACCATAGTATTACCACAGTAGTACATGTCCAAAAAATGTAATACTACCATGGTACTTTTTAGTATAATATTATATATAATATAAAGTTTGGCATCAGTAAGATTTTATTAATTTTTTTTCGGGTGTGTCAATCATTCACTGACCAATTCTTACTTCGTTCCTGAATGAACCAGCTGTTTTGAAAGAATTGATTGAATAAATGAATCAACAACTCACTTATTCAGACAGTAGTTTGCCGCCAACTACTGGCAATTTTAGTTTTAAATTATTTTAAAGTATCATTCTATTTTTCAATCATTTCATATTTCAGTATTCCATTTTTCCATATTTAATACTTTAATCTAATAACATTATTAATGCAATTTGTAAGAGCAGTGTAAATGCATGTACAAGTGCTCCTTAAAGGGGTCATATGATGCGATTTCAATTTTTCCTTTCTCTCTGAAGTGTTACAAGCTCTTGGTGCATAAAGAAGATCTGTAAAGTTGCAAAGACTAAGGTCTCAAATCCAAAGAGATATTCTTTATAAAGGTTAAGAGTCAGCCACGCCTACCTAAAACGGCTCGTTCTAACACGCCCCCACATATCTACATCACTATGTGGGAAGATTTGCATAACGCCGCCCAGATGTTCACGCAAAGAAAGAAGGCGTAACTTTTATTCTCACTGTAGTATTGTTGTTGCCGCCGTCATGTTGAATGTTCTTTTTAGCAACATCATATGACCCCTTTAAAAAAAAAGTGTATAGAGCCCTGCATGTTTAATTATGCTTGGCTTTTTTTTTTAAATAAATGAATAAAGCCACTTAGCCAATGTAACTTTTAAAAATATATTTTTAAAGTGTATCCCGTGTATCCACCCTAGAACCGCCCCTGATTGTCCAGTCTATTTTTCAGTAGTATATGAAATATTAAACATAAAATTCTGGTCACAGATATTCATAACATGCACTGTTTTTCCCCATAGATGGTGGTAAAAGAGGAAATAGCCTTATTTGGTCACTATAGAGGGCATGGTGTCACACAGATGAACACATACATGTGTGACAGTCACTGCTGAGATAAGGCCGCTGCGCGCCGCCACACTCATCACAGTCACCTGTCAGCTGCTGAACCCGTTTATTTAACCGTTGCCTGGCGACGAGCTGTGAGTCTTTGTAAACGTGCGCTCCAGGGGCTCAGAGCTCATGGCGTAAATTTAGTGAGGATGCGTCAAGGAGAAAAGAGCCACCGACTCGCTTTAGCCTTTCCCTCATGGGCTTCAATGCTCGATATCGCTCTCATTGTCTTTTTCTTTTCCTCTCTTATTCTCTCCTGGGAACACATGACTGATTGTGGCTTTCAATTAAACATATGTGACCCTGGAGCACAAAACCAGTTATAAGTAGCATGGGTAAATTTGTAGCAATAGCCAACAATACACTGTATGGGTCAAAATTATCGATTTTTTCTTTTATGCCAAAAATCATTAGGATATTAAGTAAACATCATGTTCCATGAAGATATTTTGCAAATTTCCTTACCTTAAATATATCCAAACTTAACCTTTTATTAGTAATATGCATTGCTAAGAACTTCATTTGGACAACTTTAAATGCGATTTTCTGATTATTTTTATTTATTTTTTTTTTTTGCACACTCAGATTCCAGATTTTCAAATAGTTGTATCTCGGCCAAATATTGTTCTATCTTAACAAACCATACATCGAAAAAAGCATATTTATTCAACTTTCAGATGATGTATAAATCTCAATTTCAAAAAATTGACCCTTATGACTGGGTTTGTGGTCCAGGGTCGCCATATATAGAATTGTATGTTTCAAATATATGTTGATGATCAAGGAAATAGCAATACTTTTAAAATATATTTAGTATAATATATTACTTTATTTATTTATTTATTGAATGTCAGAAGCATGAAACCAATTAATAAATTCAAGAGGCTAATTTTAAGGTCACTTTTGTTTGTAAAACATTTACAATAGGCCTAACTGCTGCAAAACCAATGGAGAATCCAGACGTTCTCAGACAATCTTTCAATAATTCTTTACTTGATCCCCATCTAGTGGTCACAGAGGAACATGACACGAAAATCCACTACCCCTTTTTATTTACAAACGTTCAAAAAGTTTGGGCTCAGTAAGAATATTATTTTTTTTTTTTTTAAATAATATTATTATTTAGAAAGGACGCATTAAATAGATCAAAAAGTGACAGTAAAATCATTAATGTTACAAAAAAATTACAAAAGATTTATATTTAAAAAAAATGTTGTTCTTATGAAAAAACAGATCAAGGTTTCCACTCAAATATTAACTGTTTCATAGCTAATAATAATAATAATAATAATAATAATAATAATAATAATAATAATAATAATAATAATAATAATAATAATAATAATAATAATAATAATAATAATAAAATATAATATACAGACAGCCAAATATATAACATGTAAATACCAGATAATACTTCCTTTTAGTCTAGTTGTGATCTTGAGATCAGTACATTTCGTCCAGTAGGTGGCGATACAACCAAAGAATCATATTGTAGCACATCGAAGGATGACACAGCATCAGCTCTTCCTCATCACAGTTTTCTTGAGGTAAAACCTGAATAGCTATCATATTAGAGACATACAGGCGTCCTCATCTCCAGCTGCCTGTGCTGAGGAGCTCTGAGGACGTCTTAGAGCCAAGGATTAACTTCAGTTAATATCATTTGTATGGAAGCAAGCGTGATTGAATTATGGGCTTTCTGCATTCTGATGGCACTGTCTGGGTGCAGCCCAATTCCCGGATATAATAGAATTTAGAATTTCTCCGGCAAGTTCTGAGTGTCATTTCCTGAATGACAAACACTGCTTGAACAGAAGCTGCTGTCCATCAGTGTTCATCAAGCTCAGTGTCACTGCCGCAAACACATCCATCCCAGATAACAGCACAAAATAACCTTGTCTAAAGCCTGGCCCTCAGACAGGTGAATAACCAGGATTTTATCAATACAGAAATGGATCTACAACTCATATATGCACTTGTAGAGAAGCGTGTATTTGTGTGCAAAGGCACCAGATGCACTCAGCAGATAAAAACCTCATTATACAGATCAATATAATCAAGTAATAAAAACGTAGCTGAGAAACACATCTTCCTTTTCTCTCGAGTGCCTCTAATGTTTAATAGTCTCCCTCGATGTGTTTTAATCTTTCCAGCTCTGCCTTACAATCAGACAGAGGCATCCAACTCACTGCTCCAACTCTGTATTGAATAATAAATCAATATTTATGTTGTTTTTAGCTGACAGGAAAGTCTGCCAGCCAGAGCAACTAATGGATTGTCGGAGAAGCATAGTAGTGCTGTTATATAAGTGTGTACATGTATGAAGAAGATTATTCCCAACTGTGTGTATTTAAGCTGTGGGTCAAACACACACACACACACTCGCCCACACACTACAAAATACACATTTACACTACATTTTGTCTTCACTGCATTCAGATCAGAACTTTTTTTCAGTAAGACATTTCTTACTACTGTCAGCTACACAAAAAAAGTGTCCTGATATTAATTAATATGCAAATTAGATACAGTGCATAGATACGTATAGTGTATATAATGGGAAAACCTATTTATGTTATTTATGCAATTTTACACACATTAAATCAAATCATTCTGTTATATCTTTCACAACGTACTTGAGAATCATCTTTATTCAAAGTTTGGTATTAAAAGAATCGATTGGTGATTTAAAAAAATCCCACTGGTTTTGCCTTTTCATGTCTATTCATGTTTTTTTTTTATATGGTGTCCTCTGTAGAGGACATAGCATAACAATCAAATAAAATAAAAATACATTTTCAAAAAAAGTTATTTTTCAATTGTTATGATGTTCTAAACAATGTAATTGCATAAAAAAAACTAAATTCACAAAACTTTTTTTTTCTGGTAGTCAGGAGGATACAGACATAATGTGACTTTTAAACCAACCCTTATTTCAACACATTATTTAGGCTACTCAAATTCACTAAAACATAAGCAAATGTAAAAATGTGAGTCTCTCTCTCATATGAATCCTGTGCATTCTTTACATCATGACTATTGCAGACGCACACTCGAGCGACCCAAAGATCGGCTGTTGACATCAATTAGCTGCCCAGCAGAAACATTTCAATAAACTGCATTTAATTAACGTGCACCGATTAGAACGTCATGTTTCAGAGTAAGCGGCGATCTGTCTTCCTGTCATCGCAGTTAATGGGCTCCGCTGCAGTGAGTTCAGACCGTCACAAACCCACACTCTCACACACACACACACACACACACACTCTCACACACACACACACACACACACACACACACACACTCATAAACTTATTTACACAATCATAGACTTATTTAAAATAAATGTACATTTTTTAATTTATAAAAATACTTTATAAATATATACAATAATATTTATTTTTATATGGTTTCATATAACATTTTAAATTATGTACAAATAATACAAATTTTATGAATATGTATTATTATTTTAAAATTATTTAAATAAAACCATATATAATGTTTTTATTTTAAATTATATAAATATCATTAATAATTGTATGTATGTTTAATTAAATTAAATAAAAAAAATTAAATAAAACATAATTTTGTTTTTATTTTATATATAATTTTTTATTTTATTTATTTATTCATTTAAGTATATATTTTATTTATGAATATAAGACCCATGACCTTCAACCTACTTTCACCACTACACTGTAGTACAACAGAGAGACCAATTCCACCTACATATCCAAACTCAAGCAAACACTTAAATTACTCTTAACCATCTAATTATAGGTCACTCTGTTCTCATACGTCTTCCAAGACAGGCTTTAATTTGATAATTATTGATTGCACTTTCAGTGTGTGGGAACGTAGGAGATTTCAGTTGATTTATATTTTCCTTGTTAAACAGATTAGATTACCCAAAGACAACAGCCAAATACTACGTCTCTACATACAATGTTTTTGTTTTGCTTTTAAATAACAGTCATTTAAAATGTCACCTCACATGGATAGTTTAAAGAACTGTTGCAGTAAAATAACTGCATGCTTTCTTAATTATCTTAACTAAAACTACAACATCTTTGTCTCTCAGTGCCATTTTAAACACAACCAAGAAAGTAAACTTTGTCAGGAGCCCAGAAAACACAAAGTCATTAGTCATCAAGGATTTGAATAACATACTTTAATCTAGAAATATGACCACAAACCTATATCATTCAGTAACCATATATCATAAAAGTAAATCATAAAAATACTAAACTACCAAAAAAAAGTAAAATATAATTCTTGGGTAACTTAACCCTATATATAGGGTTAAGTTATTCATATATATATATATATATATATATATATATATATGCAGAGGATCCCCAAATCCAGGTGTGAAAAACTTGTTGCATCTTTCCCAAAAAGACTCATGGCTGTATTAGATCAAAAGGGTGCTTCTACTAAATACTGAGCAAAGGGTCTGAATACTTAGGACCATGTGATATTTCAGTTTTTCTTTTTTAATAAATCTGAAAAAATGTCAACGATTCTGTGTTTGTCTGTCAATATGGGGTGCTGTGTGTACATTAATGAGGAAAAAAAATTAACTTAAATGATTTTAGCAAATGGCTGCAATATAACAAAGAGTGAAAAATTGAAGGGGGTCTGAATACTTTCCGTACCCACTGTATATAAACTGAGTAAACATCAAAAAGTATTAGCTACTAAAAAGCAGCCTTTATAGACCACTCTCCCTCTTCTTGGTTCTGATAGTTAAATCAGACTCACGTGGATAACATATGTGACGGCTGAATTGATTATCAGGGTCTTATGCATTAAGAAACACCCACGCCTCCATTAAATCAGCACACGGTGCAATTATCCGAATCATTGCACACCCCGGGCTGAGCTGGACCCAGACAACCTGTGAAAGGTTTCACTAAACGCTGACTCACTCCACACACTGATGTGATAATGGCATTCATAGCATCTCATCTCAGCAATGCCAATTCATATTCTGAAGCTTGTTGATCTTTTAGTGCATATTTTAGAGATGATGGATGTTTGTATCTGGATATTGGTATAATATATAACATTAAACAATATTTTAGCCTGGCTGAATGTTAGGTTCACACTCAAAATAAGAGGTTAAGTATAAGTTAAGTCATAGAATTAACATCACAAACAATCAAGACTACATTTACAGATGATCGCCGACCCAGTACTAATTGAAAAGCAGTACACATCAAACATTTTTAGATTGAAAAACATACCTAAAAAGTATGAATTATTCACTTTCAAAGGGCTTATCTCCTGCATATTTTTTAATAATTAAAATATTTTCCCAGTCAAATGATAAAGTTGGTCTGGGTTTCTTGCATTAAAATGTATTTAAAAAAAAATACAAATAAAATAAAAAAAAATTGGCCAAATTTACACATTTACCATTCAAAAGTTTGGGGTCAGAGATTATTTAATGTTTTTGAAAAAAGTCTCTTATGCTCACCAAGGCTGCATTTATTTGATCAAAAACACAGTAAAAATGGTAATTTTGTGAAATATTATTAAAATTTAAAATAGCCGTTTTCTACTTTAGTATATTTTAAAATGTAATTTATTCCTGTGACGGCAAAGCTGAATTTTCAGCATCATTACTTCAGTCTTCAGTGTCACATGATCTTCAGAACTCATTCTAATGTGCTGATTTGGTTCTCAAAAAATATTTCTGATTATTATTAATGTTAAAATCAGTTGTTACTTAATATTTAGTTTTTTCAGGATTCTTTGATTAATAGTAGGGCTGCACGATAAATCGCATGCGATATTTAACGCGCATCTTGTCCGAAAAGCCGGTTCTGTAATCAGCGGTAAATCTCCATCACCTGTGGGCTTTCACATTGAGCAGCATTAACTACACAGACGCTCTACATTAACGCACTACGCGCGAATATGAACGTGGTTTTGCGCAGCTCGTCAGTGAACAACGGCTCTGTGTAGTTAATGCTGCTCAATGTGAAAGCCCACAGGTGATGGAGATTTACCGCTGATTACAGAACCGGCTTTTCGGACAAGATGCGCGTTAAATATCGCATGCGATTTATCGTGCAGCCCTAATGAATAGAAAGTTCAAAAGAACAGCATTCATTTGAAATAAAAATATTTTGTATCAATGTAAAAATCCTTACCACCACTTTTGATCAATTCAATGCACCCATGCTAAATAAAGTATTCATTTTTCTTTCTTTCTTTCTTTCTTTCTTTCTCTTTCATTTATTGATTTTGGAATGGTAGTGTACTTTTAGTAGTTTCAATAAATAGTCTTGGTAGTCTAGGGATTTTTAAGTTATACTGTAAAAGTCAGTTATCAAAAGTATTTCCAAAGAGGAAGGGAAATGTGATTTGTCATGATGACCCATTGAAATGTTTTTCCTGCTTTTTCAGATTGTAAGCATTCTGGCAGCTGTTTAAGAGATTGACGATACATGTCTCTTACCTTTTCTGGCCCGAGAGAAAAGTTTGATGCTGACAGGCGATGTGGAGGGATTGGTGGAGTCTTTGGAGGACGAGCGAAAGATTCCGGTGAAGCTGCGGCGACGTGAACACTTGGGCGAGGAGTCGTGGTTGGAGGAGTAGGGGAAGACGGGTTTGGGAGATCCAGGGCTGTTTCTGAATCGGGCCGGAGCGGACATGGGGCTAGAGGGCCGACTAAACGGACCCCGGCTGAAGAAGTTTTTGCTCGGGCTGGCTGAACGGCAGCTAAGCTCCCCCTGAAGAGTAAATACAATCACATACAATATTAGGACAACAGCTAGTCAAAGCAGATTTGTACATTTCCTGAAGATATCACAACTAGAAGTCATATGCACAATATAATGAATGAAACATTGCACTTTTGAGCATATATTGAGAGAAATATTGATCCTTGAGATTTTAAATCATAGAGCAATGTCAGAAATTATCCATTTTATGTATACAAAATCATCAGTGAATGGCATTCTCTTACAGACTAAGCATATTTTCTGTTACTGTGATGTTATGCTGACCATTGACAGCATGTTTGAAGGACACGGACAGACAGACACTGAGATACTGAATGAAGAGACGTCATAACATTCAGATGAGTCCTTGATGTCTCCACCGTTCAATCACATGGGAATTTCACACAGCAAAACAGCCAGACAAAGCCACTGAAAACTCTTTAGACAGCCAAAAGAACAGATGGCCTCGTTTTGTCAAGAGGCTTTTGTTAAATCAGAGAGGCTCACACAGTGGCATAAATACCTCACTGTATACCTAAAAACACTACATAACTATCCCATCTATCTCGCTCACTTGCTCTCAGAATACAACAAAGTGGGATTTGTAACTGAAGTTAAAGGGATAGTTCACTCAAAATGAACAGTCGGCCGCCATGTACTTTCCCTCAAGCAGTGTTATTATCATTAGCTAACACTAAAACTATTATAAACATGTTTGTTCATTGAAATAACGCTGAAAGAAATACAATAAATATAACATTAGATGAAACTGAAAATTAGAAATGTTTTGCCTAAAATTACTTACTGAAAAAAGTCAATTAAAACTAGTGTTGGGCAACGATTAATCGCACCCCAAAATAAAAGTTTTTGTGTACATATGTGTGTTTACTGTGTATATTTATTATGTATATATAAATGCACACACATGCATGCATATATTTAAGAAAAATATGTTATGTTTATATTTTAAATATATTTATATATATGAATATAAATATATTCATGTAAATATTTTCTAAATATATACTGTATGTGTGTCTTTATATATAAATAATAAATATACACAGTACACACACATATATAAACAAAAACTTTTATTTTGGATGCGATTAATCGAGATTTCTAAAGAACATCCTGGCCACTGCTGTGAGTATAATGAAAGTAAATGAGGAGTGGGATTGCCAAGCTCCAAAATGACAAAATATCACATCAAAGTGTTATATAATATAAAAGTATTTTGAAGTCACATGACAGCTTTTGTGAAGAAAAGACTGAAATTGAAGTTGTTTTTCATGAAAAACCTTGAGATACTCAAGTTCATGAGAAAAAGTAGTGATGTGAATGAATTGAGATCTTTTCAATGAAGCGGTTCAGTCAGTACACAGCGTTAGTCTAGTTCTTAAAGGGATAGTTTACCCAAAAATGAAAATTCTCTCATTAATTATTCACCCTCATGTTGTTCCAAACCTAGAAATTTCCTAATCATTAAGTTCAACTTAATGATTCATTGCAGTGGAAGAAACAGTTTTCAGCAAATAATTTCATTTTGGGTCTGTTCCTCACACAAAACCTGTCAAATGTTTTCAGAAGACTTGGAATATAGCACACAATCATATGAATCAGTTTCATGAAACTTTTATTGTGCTTTTAGAATGTGACAAGGGTCTGTGTTTCACACACACACACGCACACACACACACAAAATGTCTTACAAGTTTAGAACAACATGAAGGTGAGAAAATAAAAGAATTTTAATTTTAATTTGAACTATACCTTCAAAAGTATGAAAAGACTAAGATGAAAGAAAACCTTTCTTTTGTACACTAAACAAAAGAAGCAATTATATATTTTTTAGTCTGAGTCCCTCGGTTTCTTTGTTGTAGAGCTGATGGAAAAAAGTCTACACTGACTCGGAGTTTTCACGGTCCTGAACCTTTGATCATGAGATAAGTGAAACATACTGACGCAGCAATTTACAACCTTTCAATTCACACTACCCTTATTTTGGTTCTGATCCAGAATCTAAGCCATTCCTCTGGCAAACATGCATTTCATTTGCACACAAATGTTCATTCACACTGGTGATTCTGCATCGACCTTGCCGGGGGGTTAATAAAACATCTGTTCAACAAGGAGAAATATTAGCTAATATCCTGAGCCCTAGCAACAAAAAACATCGGCAAATCAGCAAAGTGGAGCAGATTACATCTGATCATAAAATGTATACTCGAAAACCTCCTAAAGCATCAAAAGAGCCCTTCAGATTCAGTGACTCCAACTCACCTTCAACAGAAACACCACCCTGACAGCTATCAGGTGATTTATCTCCTCTCTAGCCTTGCCTTGCTGGCCTCTGTGGGTGATTAGTTGTCAGATATGATGAATTCCCAGAATTCCTTGGGAATGTTAACAAAGGTAACAACTGAAGAGCAGATCCTGAGTTCCTAACCAAATGACTACAATGACAGTGGCACTGAAAGGTATTTGGACGCATAAGCTATATTTAATTTCTGAAAGCATGTCTGTCAGATTTTTTAAAGGCATTAATACTTAAAAAAAAAAACGTATAACAGTTTCCACAAAAATATTAAGTAGCACAGCTGTGGTTAATTGTGCATCAAATGAGAGTTCAGTAAATGCAAAAAGTACCATGGTAGACATAATTACAAATCAGGTTATTAGAGCAGACTCATATCCCATCAGAGTGACAGCAGAGATTGAGGGCATCGAGGATATGGCAGCTTTCAGACTGCCGACACAAATGGAATGAATCTGCATTTCGCATTTTAACAACCTTTTGTGTTTGAATGACCAGATCATACATATAGCAACTCAGAATAATACTGATCTACAAATTTCTACTGATTTGATATCAGTTTCACACTCCACTTTCCTTGAATCGATGCATCCAGCAAACGGGGAGCTTTCTCTGAATTTGGCTAATGTTTTTGCAAGGTTCTCTCAAAGTTATGAACAAATGTTGTTCTAGTAACCTTTATAGAATGCTTGTTCAAAGTGTTTAATAACGTTCTCAAAACAGCAGCACAGAAACATTTATACACCATTCTTCATGTTTTCTGAAAAGTTTGAGCTGGACATTTGTTTGACATTGGACATTTGGACATTTGGACTGGACATTTTTTAAGAGTTATTACTAGTTTCAGAATGTGTGTTCCCATAATGTCCGCATAACTAAGAAAAAAACATTTTTAAAACAAAAAAATAGATATTTTGAACATTCAGAGAACATTTGGAAATAACTGTCATAACTTAATGGGATTGTTAGCTTTCAATCATAACTAAAGTTTGACTAAATGTGTAGATCTAGCATTTTGCCTTTAGGGGTGGAATATACATCACAGGGCTAGTGATGACTAAGGAAACAAACCAATTAAATGTGTGATATACACATTCTTTGGAAGAATATGCAACTGTCAACAGCTTTTTCAGATTCATTAAAACATGACACAATATTGGAAGCACATAAAAAAACAATTATTTGTTAGTCACTCTAATGCTTTTTTTTTCACAAAAGAAATTATTTTCAAAACCAAATAAAACTGTTTTTACTTTTGGCACAGCCTTATGTGTTTGGGTTGTGTTACCTCCTTGGCATGTTCTGCATCTCCTTCCAGGAACGGCATGGCGAAGGAGCTCAAGTCCTGCGGAGAACAAACAAACACAATGATTGAGCTCATTAAAAATCACTTTCATGACTGTGGCACCTCTCATTTACTCCATAAAAATACCATAATCAACAATTCACAGATCTACTGTGGCTTTCTTCTAAATGGATCAAAGGTTAAGCTCTACAGTACCCCAAAATCACAAGGAATTATACAAATAACAGGCACAGAGGAAAGAGTATAACGCTTTGGACAATTAAACAGAAGCACATCACATAAGACAGATGGACACTCGGTGGGTGATCCGTCTAACCTGTACTGCGCAGCCAGTTATACAAGAACAATTTGGAAGAACTCACAGCAGATCCAAAAACGTCTCCACTGTCCTCCTTCTCAAAATTCCACTGACTTTTATCAACATCAGTCACTGCAGCTTCGTCTCTACTTCTTTCAGACAACACATCATCACCGCCATGCAATGACAACTAAAAACATCGACACGGCCTCTGTCATTTAAACCGGTTTTTAAAGTAACATGATCTCATGTGACCGCCCTGCAATTTTTTCCCGGTCTGTGCGAATGGATGTAAAACCTGTAATGCACAGATTAAATCAGGCATCACTTAACCTCACAATAGACTCCCATTGTTGGACATCGGACAATGATTTCCAAGAAACTCCAAAGGGATCAACAAGCGTTTGTTCTATTTTACCAGGCCAGCTTCAAAGGTGACATATTATGCCCCTTTTTACAATATGTAATATAAGTTCTCTGGTGTCCCCAGAATGTGTCTGTGAAGTTTCAGCTCAAAATACTCCACAGATAATTTATTATATCATTTTGATAATGCTTATTTTGCGTGGAAGCAGAAACACGCTGTTTTTCGGGCCTGTCTCTTTAAATGCAAATGAGCTGCTGCTCCCCGCCCTCTTGCGCCTTTACAGCTCATATCTGCTAAAAAAAACCTCTGTTTTGGTTCTGATTATCATGTTTATCACGCTGAAATCATGCGTTTTAAACCATATGAGTTTAAACTTTAGATATATGGTTTTCTGAGCGCACACATCCGAAGCACACGGACAGAAAGCGGCTGTCACAGCATGTGAGTACTAAACTAAGTTCTCATTCACACACAAGTTTACGTTAAAAACACACGAGTTACAAAAACTGTCGGTTTTCTCACATGCTTGCAGAAAAAAGCTTATCAAAACAAAGTGACTGGGTTAATTTTTTTCATGTTTCCTTGGTTGGTAGATGCACCAGGGACCTGATTATAGCACTTAAAACCTGGAAAAGTCAGATTTTATGATATGTCACCTTTAAGAAAAAGGCTCAAAAGCATGACGGATTGCGTGGGGGTTGAAATGAGATAAACGTGGGCAGTTTATGAAAATTGTACAACCAGAATCCCTTCTAAACAAAATATATTCTAAGAACATTTTACTAACTTTCCCATTAAGTTATGAAAAAGTTATATGCTTTCTGAACTGAACTTGATATGAACATTCGAAAAAACGTGCAAACATTATGGGAATGTTACTTTCTCTGAACCATCTGAAACAATCAGTAAGTGGTAACATTTAAAAAAAAATCATGAGACAAAGTCCGAAATTCTTGTCCGAAATTTTTGCACGTTAAAAAAATAAATACGAGCTCACGTTGTGTCAATCACATTTACACACTGTCAGAAAATTTCGTCCGTCATAAATTTTTTTGGATCAGGTTCAATTTTCGGCGTTTTCGCATCCGTAGCAAGCATTTTGATAGGAAAGGATGACAAATACGAAAAAAATCGAAAAAACGCATACAAAAATTTTGGACTTGGTGTGCAAGGACCTTAACATCCAACTAAAATGTATTTGTGCAAATGTTTTAGTAACGTAATTAGATAACTTAACATTCTCTTAACGTTAATGAAAGAACATTTGTTCAAAACTTTGAGAGAACCTTGCCAGAACATTCTGACCACGTTCTTTGTTAGCTGGGATAATTCTCGGAACAACATTAAAAACATTTTCACAGCTAAATGAAGAAACTATAGCACAGTACAGCAGCTTGCAAACTTACACACAGGTTCTTCAATTCTTCATCCATTTTGCTGCTGTTTGCTAGAATCTCGCACCCTCAAAGACTGGTACCTAAACTCACTTTGGCAGTAACCTAAAGCTCACTAAACTGCTCAGAATCTGTAAATGTGACGCAGTGATATTTCAAACAACAGCACAAACCACAGAGTCACTGAAGTGCATTAATTAACTTTATCCTCATTACACAATCCGCTATTGTAGCTACACAAAGGACGTGATTGTTTAGCGGTTACTCCATATATTTGAGATGTATTAGTGTGATCTGTACCATGCAGTTTAAAAACCCTTTGCTAGCCTGACCTGTTACCCACTACACAGATAATTACTGTAACCGGTGACACATTAAAAAGCACTACTGTTAGTGTTTCCCAATGCACTTTTCTTATACATCCATTTACTTAATGAAATCAATACTAATAAAAGCATTAGTGATCGACTGAATCTGATATGGGTTTTTCTATGGTTGATGACATAGAAAGTAGGGTGGAATATGGCTGACAAACTGAAAATGTCAAATAATGTCAATTAATGACATTTGCAGTCATCTAATGCATCTTTAAAAACGATTTAAATGTATTTTTGAGCAAATTTCAATATTAATATCCATATTCATAATATCCATTTTTCATAAATTCACTTTTAGTATTTAACAAAACAGATTTTACTAATTTAGACAAAATAGTATAGAATTTATAGTATATTGTCCATAACATGAAAATAACCTGAATATAAATATCTGTGCATCCCTATTAGTATTGTAATTACAATAAACCTGCTTCTATAAAATAAATAAATACATAAAACTGTATTTAAAAAAAAAATACGGTATGATTCACTTAACAAATTGATTAAATGCTGAATTATCAGTTTTATTCAGATTTGTTACTATATTCAGTGTGTTTTACTACTATATAGTAAAACACACTGAATAGGGTTACAAATCTGAATAAAACTGAAAATTATGAAGCATATAATTAATTTAATATGTGAATCATATAGTTAATTTGAACCTCAGCCAATGATACTCTACTTAGAACCTTTCACATTTCTCAACATTAGCACTTTTATTTCTATATTCGATTTATTTGTTATTTAATTGTTTCTCACAATTGTAAAATCCAAAACTGGCTAATCGCTTTTAGCATCCTTTCCGTTTCTCTTTCATTACAACCATCCATTACGGCCTGACTCATGTTACTCCTCAACATGCAAATCTTCTCGTCTCACAAGGGGTCAGTCATATCCATGGTAACAGGATTGACTTTCAAAGCCTGAGACAGCAGTTCCACTCCCAACTGACAGAAATGTGAGTAAAAGCCAAGAAAAATCAAACCCATGAGTTAGAATTCAAATCAACGTCCTTGAAAATATTTCATAAGATTTGTTTGCAACATGAAAATCAACAAGTACTTAAACTGCTTGAATTTCACAGCAAGTTGGCCAGATATATTGTCAACATGCCATTTATCGTACCTCATCTCCCAATGTACAAACAGATCAACAATAAAAACACAGATCCGGGTCAGTATCCTTATCTAGAAAAGAAGGATCACAGCCAAAGTAGAAAAGCCATCTGTCCTGTAGACGGGGAGTTCAAGGCACCCCGCCTCCATATCCTTGGAGCCCAAGACCCGATTACAAACCCATATTTGCAGGCTAGAGATCAGGACAAAACATTACCTCTGCGAACAAGCACTGGAGAGCGATCAAATAAAAAACACCCTCTCAGATTCACAAGAGTTACAGCTGCAGCGTTCTTGCATCGAGAAGCGAGCATTCGGAAATCCCATTAGACAAATGCAGGGTTGCTCCAAGGAGCAAGGACAGTCATAACTCACTGACATGATACAGCACCTCCCTTCAGTAACATGGAGGTCAGTGGGGCAGGTCTGGGGATTTGTGTGTTTATACCTAAATAAACCTAAATACAGGAAGGTAACAAGCTGGCTTGCAGCTCTGTCTGTTTGTGTATGGATAAACAGAGAAAAATACAGTGCAAGTAATGACTGAGAGAGAGATGCAGCCTGGCGGGGGTCCGCAAAGCATTTTGAAACATGACAAACATCAGCATCAGGCATGTCCAAGGCAACCATTCGGCATCTCACTGTAGTTGGCATGAGTCACAAAAGACACAATGTAACAGCATATGTGAATCACAGACACAAAATGCAAGCGCTTGTGATGCTGAAGTTGAAACTGACAGCAGGTTGTGAACAGATCAATTAAAGTACAATATCTGAGACTTGACTTTTCCGGAAAAACACTCATTTTTTTACCTTCTGAAGTCAAGATCAGCAAACTCTGGGGCCCTGCAAAGGTCAAAGTGCACAGCAAAGGATCATAATTCAACCACGTGACACAAATGGTCTCCAAAACGTGGGAACCCTTGTGAAAATGTAGTAGGCAGGCCTACACTTTAGCATTTAGCATGAAAGAGCACTTATTCTATAATACTTTAATATAAATAATATATTTTAAAAGAATAAACTGAATGTTTTCAGATGCTTAATTTATATTATTTACAATTAAATAAAAAAGTATTAGTTTAAATGTATTAAATTAAATAAGTGCTTTTTGACCCACTTAAAAAGGACTTAAGTACATATTTACATGTAATTTCATAATTCTATTGTCTTTGAAATATGGTTGAAGCGAACTGTTGAATATAGTGACAAGCATTTATAGCAAATTAAAATATACTTTAATTTTTTAAAACTTGTACATAAATTAAATTACAATGAAATACATTTATAATGTATTAACTTACTTTAAAGTACTACAAAAGATTTAGTACTTTAAAGTAAAACATTTAATTCGACATGATTACAAAGTGCACTTTTTAAGCATACTTAAGTGTTAAATAGTATACTCTAAGTACAGTTGAGTGGTCTTTTATTTCATTAATAATGTATTATCTGCAAGCAGTTTTTTAAAATATACTTTAAGAT